ATTGAATGGAACCTGGGGAGGGGGGGGACCTCTCACATACTCAAGTTATCTTCATTAGGCTCCTTTTGTATCTGCTTCGCTGTGCCCCTGCCGACCTCTGTCTTGCCATCATGAAGACTTGGCAGGGGAGAACAGCCAATTATAATAATCTGCCTTTGCTTCCGAGCACGAGCAAGTAATTTTTCTCTCCTGCTTAGGTCTAGTTTTATCTCACTGGTAGTCAGGTGTTTGGCACCAGGTGTCTAAAAGCTGCTGCCTCTTCTCGCTTGCGTGCCTTTTTGATTCAGAGAGTTTTATGGCTCTTCTTTTCTCCCAAACCAGCCATTCTGCTTTGATGGCATCTCATTGCATTGGAAGGCTCCCTGCCAGGGTCACAGTAGATGTGTGCAGGGATGTGTGAACAGTCTCCGGATGATCTGTAGCCTTCCCCCCAAAAAAACTATCCGAAAAGTAAATTATTCTTATCACCATCATTTTAATCTCACTCTTCAGCTAGGCGGGTGGTGGGGAAACCTACAGCACCGATCCAGGGATATTGAAATGTGCCAATTGGGAAAGACATGTCACAAAAGGAAAAGCAGATGGGGAGGGCAGAGGAGGAAAAAATGGTATTTTTTGTTAGAGAACTCAGCCATTCGTGGAGCTGAACCTAAGCACAGTGGCTGGGCTTCTCCTCCCTCGCCCTCTGGTGGTCTCAGTGATGGCACGTGGTAAATGGAGAGACAGGAGCTCGGATGGAGTCAGAGCTGTGCAAGAAGCCATCAATTTCAGAAGAGGAAAGCTGGGTAGAAGGAGGTGCTTAACCCTTCCACCGAGACCACATAATACTAGTCCTGAAAGGTCTACATTGGCTCCCAGTACGTTTCCGAGCACAGTTCAAAGTGTTGGTGGTGATCTTTAAAGTCCTAAGCGACCTCGGCCCTGTATACCTGAAGGAGCATCTCCACCCCCATCGTTCAGCCCGGTTGTACGCCCACAGAGTTTCTCCATACCCTGGATCAATCACAAGGAGAAGCTCTTCCCCGTCCTGTGCCTGTCTTCCAGTAAGAACATATTACAAAACAGCCACAGCCACAGAAGGAATATTGCCATATGAAGGAAGCATGCAAATATGTTAGATTTGCATAATTTATGCAGACTGCAGAACCCAGGGTTTCTTGAGTACCATATTGAGCTCTTTGAGAGCCAGGGCGATGCAAACCGATGTGGAAAACCCATGATTTGGCGGCGCTAGTTCTGCTGCTGCCTTTCTGCAACGACTTTTCCCTTCTCAAGCTGGAAACTCAACATGACAAGCCTGAATTTGCAATCAGTGCTTTTGACCAGCTAAGAATTACAGATGTCCTTTCACATTTATTACCCTGCCATCCAATATCTCCAGCCTAGTCTAGGGGTGTAGCGTCTTTTTATTTTATTCTTTTTTATTTTTAAAGAACTTTAAGTGGAAAGAATCTCTGGGTAAGTTTGAGGCACTCTCATTTCAGAAATTTAATTTCTTAATAAAGCAGGTTCGGGAGTCTCTGTTATCTTTGCCTTCGTTTTCCTGTTTTGCACGTGGTTATTTCTTTTAAATGCGTGTCAGGATAAAACTGCCCACTTAAAAAGACAGAATGAAAAACCTGGATTTGAATGACAGCTCTAACTAGGGGCCAGCAATTAAGTCCCACCCACCCAAGACAGGATGTCATGGGAAGCTTCCTTATTCTGAGTCAGACCATTGTTCTCTATAGCTCAATCTTGTCTAAAATGACTGGTAGTGTCTCTCTAGGGTTTAAGTTCTAGGCTGGGGGTCCTGCTTATTTTCCTTCACAACAGAAACGGCCATCTCAAGCTCACTTAAAAAGGGGGGAAAAGAAAGCCTGTTTGATGTAGGTCACACCTATGCAAAGTACCTGAAGCACAAATAAGGTGCCTGGCTCCCCCCCCCAAAGAACTCTGGGAACTGTAGTTTGGGGTGCTGTGAATTATAGCTCTGGGAAGGGTAATTTATAGTTTCCATGGGAAAATCCATGTGTTTTAAAAAATGTGCTTTAGATGCACAGGGGGTGAGTGGTTTTGCCCAAAGTGCTTTCTTTTTGCCTTCTTTTTTATTTGTGGCTTAAACTCAGTCATTGTTTGGCTAGCTTCCTTAATGATGATTTAAGGCGCTTCAAGATTTTGCAAATTCAGTTCCGATTTTTCTGTGCATGCATTTGGCGAGTTGAGCTTCCACATATCCCCATGGAGTTCCTCTTAGAGGTTACCGTCCACACGCTTTTCACTGCGCAGATACTGGGAGTGAGGTAAAACCCCTCTTTAAATTGTTTTAGCGGAGTTTATCTTCTTTCTCTGGCGGAACTGGTGAACAGTGACAGAAGTTGTTTCAAAGATGACTCACAAACTCTGTGAAGTCTTAGTCAGGAGATTTTTATTCCCAGGCCGGGTACAAGCATTACCGTAGCAAAGATATTTCCGACTGTTAAAATTAAACAGCAATTAACAGTACACTTCCAAACCAAAGTTTTATCTCCAGCACGTCATAAATTACAGGAACAGTCCTTCGACAGATTTTACAGGCAATACTCTTCGGACAGACATCTGCCATCAGGTGTCTGCAAAAAACGAAGCTGAGTGGTCTTCTTATTGGCACTTCCAGCTGATGCTAATTAAGCTCAGATTACCACTCCCATATATAAAGGAAAACTCTGGAACCTTTTAGAAACTTTCTACTTGTTTCTGGCAGAATAGATTCCCCCCTAACACTTCTACCATGCTATTCTGCTACTCGCCATGGTGGGCAGAGCCTGATGGACAGCATCTCTGCTGGAATTTATTTTTATTTCCACCCGTCCTCTGAGACATCTGGAGATGTAGGCAGGTGTTTCTGTACCTGTGCATACCTTAAAGATTACCCAGGGTGTGTACAACAGACTAGTTATCATGTTTCATAACGGGCAGAACAGAAGCTTGTGCTTTTTCTGTGGGTGGTGGTAAAGGAGATGGAAATAACTTTTCCATTTGCCCATCTTCTTTTTAATAAGGAGGCGTTGCACAAAACCTCCATGATTTAATTTTTTTGAAAAACAAACAAACCCTGATGTACATATTGCCATGTCTCCCTGTTTGCCCTGTGTTGGAGAGAATGAGAGTATATCTTCTCTGGATTGGGCATTCAGCAATTGATGGAAATAAGTTTCTTTCCTTTGGTATTGGGGAATGCTAACAAAATAGGATCTTGGGACACCTGAGGGTAATCTAGTCCAACCCCCTGCAATGCAGGAATTATCAGCTAAAGCATCCATTGACAGATGGCCACCCAACCTCTGCTTAACAACCTCCAAGGAAGGAGAGTCCACAACTTCCCAAGGGAGACCTTTCCACTGACAAACAACTTTTACTGTCAGAAAGTTATTCCCGAAGCTTAGTCAGAATCTCCTTTCTTGCAACCTGAAGCCATTGGTTTGGGTCCTACCCTCTGGAGCAGGAGAAAACAAGCTTGCGCCATCCTCCATGTGACAGCCCTTGAGATATTTGAAGATGGCTGTCATATCTCTGTCTTTGGGCCTGTGTCTTAAGTGACCACCCTGCTCATTAAGTTGATAATGTTTGGAGAGACTGGGTGACTTTTTCCATATAGGAGACAGGCCTATGGCAAGTAATATACTGCACTTTTCTAGCAACAGAGATCAGTTATTTCAATTTTTTCAGATAGTTGAGGATGAGAGGCTTGCCTCACAGCTGAATCTTGTCCGTCTGCTCAGGAGTAGAAGAACGAACACAACGAACACTGTGAGGTGAGTGGGATTGAGAGACTTCAGAGAGGTGTGACTAGCCCAAGGTCACCCAGCAGCTGCATGTGGAGGAGCAGAGACGCAAACCCGGTTCCCCAGATTACGAGTCTACCACTCTTAACCACTACACCACACTGGTAGGTCCCATTGAGTTCAGAGGGACTCTGGTAAGTGTGTATAGGCTTGAAGGTAAAAGGCAAAGGACCCCTGGACGGTTAAGTCCAGTCAAAGGCGACTATGGGGTTGCGGCGCTCATCTCACTTTCAGGCCGAGGGAACCAGCGTTTTTCCACAGACAGCTTTCCAAGTCATGTGGCCAGCATGACTAAACCGCTTCTGGTGGCGCTGTGATCTAAACCACTGAGCCTTTTGGGCTTGCTGATCAGAAGGTCTGCGGTTCGAATCCCCGCAGCAGGGTGAGCTCCCGTTGCTCTGTCCCAGCTCCTGCCAACCTAGCAGTTTGAAAGCATGTCAAAGTGCAAGTAGATAAATAGGTACCGCTGTGGCAGGAAGGTAAACAGCATTTTCATGCACTCTGGTTTCCGTCACGGTGTCCCATTGCTCCAGAAGCGGGTTAGGCCTGCTGGCCACATGACCCGGAAAGCTGTCTGTGGACAAACGCCGGCTCCCTCGGTCTGAAGCGAGATGAGCGCCGCAACCCCATAGTCATGTTTGACTGGACTTAAACGTCCAGGGGTCCTTTACTTTTTTACCTATATAGGCTTGAAGCCTCGTTTCTTCGTAACTCCTGTGGAGGTTTGAGCCCTGGGTTTCCCACATCCGACTTCCTCAAACAGCAAGTAGTTAAACCGTGAGATTCACTCCTGTTCATAGCTGTCAACTTTTCCCTTTTCTTGCGAGGAATCCTATTCGGAATAAGGGAATTTCCCTTAAAAAGGGGGGAAACGTTGACAGCTATGCTCCTGTAAGATGTAGTGATGGCCATCTGCTTTGATGGCTTTAAGGAAGATTAACACAAATTCATGGAAGATAAAGCTATTTGTGGCTACTAGCCATGATGGGTGCGGTTTCCCTCTACTGCCAGAGGCCTCTGAAAACCAGTCGCTGATAATGGAAGGTGGGATTCTGCTCAGATTCTCCTTGCAGGCTTCCTGTGGTCATCTGGTTGGCCACTGCGAACCCAGGGTGCTGGTCTCCCGTCTGAGTTTGGCACATTGCAGCTGACACTTCTAACCTTCTTAACTCAGACTTATCACTCATGAGGCACCCAGTTGAATGAAGCCCAGCAGCAACAAAGGCAACCCACCTGTGTCTGCTGCATGCCAGGGGCTGAACAAAACAGGTGGGATTTTCAAGCACTTGACGTACTTCAGTTTGTGGGCAGCCTCCATCTTTTCCCCCCTCTTGAGACAACCATCCAATAGCCAGATGGGCTTAGGAAGGGAGCAAAGTACTGAAAAATACAGAATGGTTTGGGAGTTCTCTTTCACTCTCTTTTTTAAGAAACCAATACAGTGGTACCTCGGGTTACATACGCTTCAGATTACAGACTCCACTAACCCAGAAATAGTACCTCGGGTGAAGAACTTTGCTTCAGGATGAGAGTAGAAATCGTGCTCCGGCGACGCGGCAGCAGCAGGAGGCCCCATTAGCTAAAGTGGTGCTTCAGGTTAAGAACAGTTTCTGGTAAGAACAGACCTCCGTAACAAATTAAGTACTTAACCCGAGGTAATAATTATAATAATAATAATAATAAATTTTATTTATATCCCGCCCTCCCCAGCCGAGGTACCACTGTATGACTGGATTTTTTCTGAAAGGATTGGACTGTGAAGGAGGCTCAAGTTCAACCTGGGTATGACGTTAAGCTTCTTAGACAACAGGTGATGTGCAAATATGAAAAGTAAAATAAAATAAAATATTGCACCATCCTCAGAAGTTCCTTGTTCCTTGAAGGCTGTACGCCCAATAACATTTCTCTCTCTCTCTCTCTCTCTCCACGCACAATTCTGTGCTGCCCTATCCCATACAAATCAACATACAACATACAACATACAAATCCTTCCTTCCTTTTGGTCTCCTACTTCTTTTAACTTTAGTGGGGTATAAATTTATTCCTTATTATAAGCACACAGGTAATATCCCAGTTTGGCAAAGACTTGGGCTGTATGTACACACCATACCATAAAAGCACATCTTCCCAGGAACTGTAGTTTGGTAAGGGTGCTGGGAAGAGCAGCTCTGTGAGGGGGCAAACTATAGTTCCTAGGATTTTTTGGGGGGGCTTTAAATGCATGGTGCGTACAGTACTCAGCCTAAGTTCTGACTTCCGTTCCCTAACCTAGCAGCACATTCATGTCATGGAAAAGAGGTGCAACAGGAACTGAGTGGTTAAGCACCCGACACCCAGCTGCAGCGAGTTAATTTCACTGGAGAAGAGAGGTTTGGCCCCTTCCTTCTCTAATGTGTTTTCTTCAGCTCTAGATCACAACCTTATAACGTTAGCGGGGAAAGTGAATTTCACTTTGCGGGAGGTAAAGTGGACTGATCTTTTCCCAAGACACCTTTGCAAGACTCTTCTGTGGCCACGAGCAATTTAACAGAGCAATTTCCCACTCGTTTATTGCAGCTTTAATTCCAACATCTCTCTCTCTCTCTCTCTCTCTCAATCATACGAACAGTTTCGAAAATCATTGTTCTTAGACGACAAATTAGCCATACTTGCAAAGAGGAAATATATATATATAAAACAACAGCAGCATATGAAAGCACAACCCTTTTTTTCTTCTTCCCCAAAATAACATTGACAAAGAATTAATACCACATTGGATCTGAAAAGGATCCCAGGGAACATCTTGTTTGTTTGTTTTAAGACATGCTTTGATTCAGTTGAGATTGGGTGTATTTTTAATACGTGGGGTAAAACCAGACCCCCTTATTCACAGCACAAAATGCCATCAGCATGATTACACACAAAAAACCACAACTCTGCCAATTTGCAAAACTCCCCAGCACCCACCCCAAAGACTCCAACCCAGCAGCACTACAAAACATCTTGTTACTTAGCACTTGGTGAGGACTTTTCTCCCCTTGCAGCTGATCGATCTGTGGAGTTTATGTATCTGGATGTGAACGCTTGTCTCAAGCAAGGAAAGTGTTGTGTCCAGTCATGGTTATCCAAGGGAAACAACATGAAAGACTTAAACATCTTCACTTTCTTCTTCATTTTCTTCTTGCACACGGACTGTTCATGCAAAACATACGACATTTCCACATGCAGCGTTAGGCAGAAATTCAACTTTGCACAGAACTTGCCAAAAGGATTTTCGTTCTCTGCTTCAGTTGGTTTGGTTTTTTTGACAGGCAGAGGACTTTATCGTTTGTAACACACACATGAGGAATCTCCCCTTCCTCTCCCCAGTTCTGTTCCTCTGTCTAGCAGCACGCTACCACAGGACTTCCATCCTCCGAAATAGAATTCCACACGCACACACCCCAAGCAGAAGTCTGCTCCTGTCTGCCCACCCACAGAGAAGTGACCCAGACGACGGTCTTAGTACAGCCCCATGATTGCGATGCCAACGTCTTTGGACGGCCGGCGGTCTTTGACCAAAAAGTTGATCATGCTCTCTGATTTGATGAGCAGGTTGCAACCCAAAAAGAAGACCCCAAAGACCACAGTCAAGGAGAGGACGCAAAGGACCGCGATCTGGACCACTCGGGTGATGAAGAGGTTCCTCTCATCTGGGAGCAGGACCGACGCACCTCCATCGCTGGCCACCACTGTCCCCGTCCCATTGCAGCAGCCAATCAAAGTGCTCAGGTCTTGGGACCGGTTAGAATACACCCCTTCTTCCACTAGCGTCTGATTAAATAAAGTCCCGTTCATTTTATATCCACCAGAATTTCCAGAAAATAAGAACAATGAATGCAGACTTGAGCTTCCCTTATGGATGACCCCACAGTTATGAAGACTTCTCAGCAAGACTTCTCTGTCTGTCTCCTTGATTCCTTCTTCTTTTAAAAATCAAGATAGTGTCAGCCAGCAGAAGGGAGTGGAGAGAAAGAAAAGGAATTCCAGTACAAGCAAATCGCTCCTCGGCAACAGCTTCACCAGATCTTTAAGGAGAAGCAAGGTAATTCCAGAAGCTAAGTTTCCAGGGGGAAATGTGCTGGCAGGCTAGCTGGCTGGCTGGCTGAGAACTCAGGAAATGCACATTGCATTGTAAAGTCTCCAAGCAGCATGATAGAAAATAAGTCACATTAAAACTCCACCCCAACTGATCCTAAGCACCACCTTCATCCCTCCTACCATTTCAGGGAGAGAGCAGCTTGCTCATATTCCTCCCCACGACACAGAGAACCTATGCAGTTCAGTGGGACACAGGGATGGGCAAATTTCGGTCAATTTTGGATTCTCTCGGCTTTTTGTTTTTCCAAACTTAAGTTCAGTTCTTCATTCATTCAGTCATTGAATTTATATACTGCCCTGTACCCAGAGGTCTCAGGGCAGTTCACAACAAAAATCACAATATGTAACATAAAAAATAAAAATAATCCAATAACGTTTCTGTATCCGTTAGCAATTTTGTTGAGGGGACGGACCCAAACTCATGGAAATGTACCAGCATTTTAGTGTCTATTTTTCCTAATTTCCCCCTGTTTATATACAATTTCCCTAATGCAGACATTTCATGGCAAGCAAGTTTCCTTAATATGACGCAGTTTTGCATGTTATTTTTTACAAATAAATGCATTTTTAGGAACACTTTCTCATAACGTGCATATTTTGTGTGCGCTGTGTTTTGACTAGAGAACTGCAGAACAAAAATCCGGACAGCTGTGAATTCTGAAGGGTAGCTCTGTTTTGGTTCACATATTGTTTTGGGAGGTGTGAATAAGGTTGGTTCGCACTTAAATATAAATGGCTCCCCTATCCCTAAGTGGGACTTTGCTGATGTTTTAAGAAGAGGCGCTACCCAAATATATAGGAAGGTCTATCCTGAAGAGTGGGGCCTGTTGGAAGACTATCCCAGACCAAAGCTGCCCACCTTATATTCCTGGAGTGTGTAAATGCAGCCATTTTGTCTCTGATCCCAGGGGCCATCCAAGACATTCTGCTGCCCGAGGCAAAATTCAAAATGGCGCTTCCTCCCTTTTCCACATGCAGAAGCCAACCAGGCTGGGAGCTGAATCTTAGTCAACGCCTGCAATAAGACAGTCCTCTCCACTGCAACTGAGGGCAGAAGCCTAGCTTGGGTGTGTGCATGAGGACTGGCTAAGTGTCTCTCTCATTGATGCTCTCTGTCCTCCCCAACATCTGGGGCAGCTGGCACACGCTGCCAGTTGGTAGGGCCGGTCCTGAATGAACTAAGTATTTTCCTGTCCATGTGTGCATGGATGCTATGAGGGCTCTTGAATCCAAAGATCTTCCTAAATGAGTTATGGTTGTCCCTTGGTTCTCAAACTTATTCCGTTCTGGAAGTCCCTTCCAAAACCAAAGCATTCCAAAACCGAGACGCGCTTTCCCATAGGAAGTAATGCAAAATGGATTAATCCGTTCCAGACTTTTAAAAACCAACCCCTTAAACACCAATTTAACATGAATTTTACTATCTAACGAGACCATTGATCCATAAAATGAAAGCAATAAACAATGTACTGCAGTCACACAATCAGTCAATCAATCTGTAGCTGAACTGGGTTCCACACAGTCACAAAAACAGAAAAAAGAGCCACAAAAACAAAAAAAACACAAAATAAACAGCAAAAACAGACAGCATAACACTCAAATCGGCAGCGTAACATTCAAAATGGAGCACATTTAGCTTCTGAAAAAAGTTCACAAACTGGAACACTTACTTCTGGGTTTGCAGTGTTTGGGTTCCAAGTTGTTTGAGTACCAAGGCATTTGAGAACTAAGGTACCACTGTATTTGTTACACACGTCCAGCCATTCCTTCATTGTTGCAAACCTCCTTTCCCCAGCCTGTGCTTCTGTTCTGAGGAGATCCAAATGCGTTGTCTACAGCCACTTCCATTGCCTGCGATCATATCCATCCTTGGTTTTCACAGGAGCAGCCTATGGTTTTCTGTGTAAGTGTGCTTGCTTGTTTTTGAATTTCGCCCCATTCTGTTCACACTGTGAAGCTTTCAATATTGCCAATCTTGTCTGCATTTCAGCTAAAATCTTTGGATATTTTTAAAATGCTTGCATGATGTTGAATTCGATGTCACGCTGCAACATGGGTTTTGCAGTCTCGTGGCTTCTTATAAATGACGATTCTCACATACATGTGTTTTGCTTACAGAATAAGAGAGTTTGGTGCAAAAGTTTAAAACAACACAAGAATGCAGACAGCTTGTGTGGGGAAGATTGAAATAAGAGAATTTGACTATTGGAAGAATGCTTAGCTCATAAACAGATATGCCAAACTTGTGGTTTCTGAGTAGAGTAACCAGTAAAATACTCAGATTCGGGTTATGACGCAATGGAAACCACCATGTTCAGCTGAAATTTGCCCAGTTTTGGTGGAATGGCGAGATAGATTTCTTTTTTCACACCTACCCCAAGAATCCTGGGAATTCTAGTTTACCCCTCACAGAGCTACACTTCCCAGCATCCTTAACAAAACTGGAGTTCCCAGAATTATTTGGGGGGATGTGAGTTTGATATGTACTTTAAACTTTTGCTGCATAAACGGGTTTGTATCCCATGGTGTGAAGAATGCATTTATGGACACAAGAGGGCAGTAAAGGAACAGTATGGAAATATCATGGCAAAGCTCTGGGAGGCCATTAAATAATGCACACACCTCAGTTTGACATTTGGGTGCCTGGTTTGTTATTTTAAAAGATGCTACTTACTGGAATGCAAGCAGCAG